GGGGGGTATGGTTCTCTCTCTCTCTCTCTCTCTCTCTCTCTCTCTCTCTCTCTCTCTCTCTCTCTCTCTCTCTTTGGTTGACTTTGAACTGTGGCACAGATAAGATAAATGCCATAGGTGATTAAAAATGACAAAACATGATTAGTTATAGTCGTAATTACTACATATGCTATCAATCCCCCTCTCTCATTAGTATTGTTTGTTTGTATCAGATGATTATCAAAGGGACCTCTAAATTAATTTGATTGTAAAGTCTTTCAGCTCAGGCCTCCAGTCAGTTGTCAGGCAAGTTTCTGTTCCTGTACGATCAAAAATCAGAAAACTAAGTGTTCACTATTGACAAAATATCAATAATAATAATAATAATAATAATTTATAGCAGTAAAGCAGATATTATATCCATAATCATAATAATATAAATTAATGTAATAAACAAATAATAGATTCTCAACAATATTTGAAAATAATATACATTGTTTTGTTTATACATTTGCTAAATAAAATAATAATAATGGCGTTATTATAATCATGATTATTACAGTATATCAATATAATCACTAATAATAATAAATAGCATCAAAATAAATAGTCAAAACATTTAATAATAAAATAAAATATTTTTGTTCTATTTCGCTTAATATTAATTTTTAAAAAATGTACATGAATTGTGTGTGTGTGTGTGTGTGTGTGTACTGGTTTATATATCCTGGTGGGGACTTAAACCTGACTACACACAGACTCATGGGGACTCGTGTCACGGTGGGGACCTAAATTGTGGTCCCCACGGGTATAAAAGCTTATAAATCACACAGAATTAAGTTTTTTGAAAATCTAAAAATGCAGAAAGTTTCCTGTGAGGGGTAGGTTTAGGTGTAGGGTTGGTGTAGGGCAATAGAATATACGGTCTGTACAGTATAAAAACCATTACGCCTATGGAGAGTCCCCACAAGGATAGTGAACCAGACGTGTGTGTGTGTGCATGTTTATGTGGTTTATGAGGACACAAATTTGTATAATAACATGGGTATGACATAGGTATTACAACGAGAAGGTGATTTATGAGGACATTTTCAGTGTCCCCGTAATTCAAAATGCTTATAAATAATTCAGAATGAGTTTTTTTGAAAATATAAAAGTGCAGAAAGTTTCCTGTGAGGGGTAGGTTTAGGGGTATAGAGTTGGTGTCGTACAATAGAAAATACGGTTTGTACAGTATAAAAACCATTACGCCTATGGAGAGTCCCCATAAACCATAAAAACAAACCTGTGTGTGTGTGTGTGTGTGTGTGTGTGTGTGTCAATCGCGTTCTACTTTGGAACTATTTTAGAGCGTTCTTTCACACACGGACTGCTTTTAATGTAACACTCGTGCAAGTGTAATCTCTCGTAAACTGCAGTATAACATTTATTTCAGCTATCTCATCATATCGTTACGCTCATATTTTAGTGTGATTTAATGCACTTGACTACACTACAAAAATGATGTAAACTCCTCCTCGTCAACTACTCGGTAAATATTGACAGCTCTTTGCACCAGAGCTGATTAGAAGACTACGAGGTATGAAGACTAACGTGTGTCAGAATCTAGTGAGCTGTTTACCTAGACAGTACTCAACTTTCTGACTCCAAGTGAGCGGACTACCTGGTTTAAGGGCTTAAACCAGGTAACGTAGTCCACTCCCTAGGAGGCACAGCCTTGCGCAGACTTCAAGTAATCAGTCATTTAGATGCTTGCTTTACCTAATTTTACAATACGCAATCAATTATTTCCTTACGTGAAATTCTCTTTCTGTTTAGCTGCGAGAAAGTTCATAGGGAACGATCAGAAAGAAAGTGGCTTTTGAGACTTGAGTGCAGTAGATCACTAGTCAGAGTCTAATGGTCACGCCCCACTTCAATATATTTCTTAGACAAGATTACAATAGCTTTCAGTCGGGCCCAAACAAAAGACAAGCGTTCAGTTCAGGTTGTCTTAAACTTTCATCAGACGACTTGTTCTGTCTTAAAATAGTTTCGCAATCCGTGTAAAATGCCAGATTTATCAAAATTTCTCTTAAGTTTGTGTGGACATTTTTATTGCATTTAAGAGGGATGAACTATATTAATGAAATTGCTCTATTCCCCAGAGCTGTGTCCATGATAGAGTGACATGCAGCCTAGGCCATGGACCAGATCACATTTAGAAGTGACACTGTTCTATCTGATGTGCATCTGCTGTTACCAAATGCTTGCCATCTCATGAAGAGACTTAACAGCGTAGGACAGCCAGGTAAGGAGAGCGGGCAGACACCTGTGTATCTTATTGCTTGTGTTTGGAATAAATACTAACTACTTACTGCAGGGGTTTTCATTAAGCAAGGATGCATTACATTTTACATTGTTACTAAAAAAATCTATTTCACATAAATGCTGATCTTTTGAACTTTCTATTCACAAAATCAAAAAATATATGGTATCCACAAAAAAAAAAAAAAAAAGCAACTGTTGTCAGTTTTGATAATAAGAAGAAATGTTTTTTGAGCAGCAAATCGGCATATTAGAATAATATTTGAAGGATCATGTGACACTGAAGACTGGAGTAATGATGCTGAAAATTCAGCTTTGCCAACAGGAATAAATTTGACAATTTTGGCACATTTTGAACATTTATGCATTTTGTGTTTAATTTGCATACTGTGCACAGTATACATTATACTGCATTTATGTATTATATGTGTATGTTAGTATACTATTCTGAACATAGCTATTATCTATACACCATTTTTTTTCTTTCTTGCTATATATATATATATATATATATATATATAAAAAAATCTTCTTCTCTCTGTTCACTTATTTTTGGCAGTTTTATAAATAACAATTTCATGGCAGTGCTCCATATTACATATTTGAGAGTTTGTCATTTGCAGCTGTAACCTTTTGTGTTAACAGCCTTGGTCCCTGGCTGTTTGGTTTCCATGTGTGCCCTAAGTACTTATAAAATTACTGTCAACCATTCCCTGTATACACAGGTTTGACCTTTAGAAGGCTATTAGCTTGTAATTTTAAATGACCAGCAGGCAGTCAGTCTCAGATTTATTTATAATCAGCTATAGGCTATACTTTATATAAAGTATAGGGTTTTTTTATGTGGGCAAATTGAACAATAAACACTGCAATTTGATATAATGTTATGGCCAAGTTTTTTTTTCTTCTGTTGTGTTCCGGGTCAATAATGCCCAGGCTCACAACATTTATCACCGCAAAGTCCTGGTCTAAGTTCATGGAAAGCAATGCTGGGTGGCCTATTCTGGCCCTTAAACCCCTGATGTGACCATGTTGCATAGGCTGTGATTCATTATCCTCACCAGAGCAGCTAGGCTCAAATGAAGCTGAAATTATACCGTAGACGGCCTATCACTATTCCTAGTAAATTGAATTCAAAAGATTTTGAATGCCTTAGATGAGGTGACCTTTACAACGCTAGACTGGAGCTGACACTGTAAGACTGAGTCTTACGGTTCTGCTCTTGAATAATAAGATGCATGGTGTTCCGACTCCATAAGGCAGAAATCAGTTTCAAACTTTTGACAAAAAGTTCTATGCCCATACTTTGTCTATCAATCAAATTTTTAAACATAGTTCATTACTAATTAAAATCATCCAGGCTGATTTTTATGCTTCACTCTCTCCGTCTTGAACTCATTGATCCAAGCCCTGTAGACCCCATTTCTAGTAGATTCAAAATCTCTTTTGTCTGTCCATGCTTTTGTCGTCATATCCCATTCAAATCTCTGTTGTCCCAATTATTTGTACGATTAGAGTATATTTTAAATGCAGTATTCTTTGATTTAGTGTTGTACAACTGCAAGGTTGTAAACCCAAAAATGAGTTGCAAGTCAGTTCTTGCTCTTACCAGCAGGGGAAAACCATGCTAAATGCAGATTTAAAAAAATACTATATAATATACTCATGCATACACTACCTTTCAAAACTCTGGGATCAGTGAGATCTTTTAAAAAAATACCAGCACCAGTTTACCATCCAACTGGGCTCATCAATGACAATCTCATCGAGTTCAGCAAGGAATCTCGGGGTGATCCTTGATGATCAGCTGACCTTTAAAGATCACATTACAAAAACGGCACGATCATGCAGGTTTGCACTACACAACATCAGGATCAAGGCCCTTCCTAACAGAGCATGCAACACAGCTTCTCGCCCAGACCCTTGTCATTTCTAGGCTAGACTGTTGCAATGCTCTTCTGGCTGGACTTCCAACATGTGCAATCAGACTTCTGCAAGTGATTCAGAATGCAGCAGCACGTCTCGTTTTCAATGAGCCCAAGAGAGCCCATGTCACACCGCTTCTCATGTCTCTGCACTGGCTTCTGGTCGCGGCTCGCATCAAGTTCAAGTCATTGGTGCTTGCCTACAGAACTACCACGGGCTCCGCACCCTCCTACCTCCGCTCTCTCCTATGCGTTTACATCCCCTCCAGAAGCCTGCAGTCGGTAAATGAGCGGCAGCTCGTGTTCTCATCACAGAGAGGCACAAAACCTCTCTCAGGGACGTTTTCTTGCACCGTATCCTGTTGGTGGAATGACTTGCCTAACTCCAACCGAATCCCTCACAATCTTCAAGAAACAACTGAAAACTCATCTCTTCCGTTAGCATCTAACTGCCTTATAATAATGATAATAATGAAAAAATAAATCTATGACTTCACTTTTTCTGTTCTCTTATTATCCTCCTGTCCTAGCTTTTTACTATTTTAAACAATGACCGAAACCTTGTATAACGGGCACTTCTCGTTTTTATTGCCATCTTATGATAAATCACTTGTTGTATTCCTCAAATGTAAGTCACTTTGGATAAAAGTGTCTGCCAAATAAATAAATGTAAATGTAA